TATCATGAACTATGTTCCTTTATCATGAACTATGTTCCTTTATCATGTTTTTTCACAGTTTTCAATCTCCTTATTCTGACTGTGCTTTCAACCTGAACTGGTACTACTGCTTATGAGTTGCAGTCTTGTTCAAACCTGAGCTAAACTTTAAATTTATACCCTATTCCTCACCAGTACCAGTTGTGTTTCTGTATCGTCACCCACCTCTGACTTTACCTCTAGCTCTGCATTATTACAACCCTATCTCCTCAAGACAACTATTTGAGTGCTCTCCCTGCTGATTTCGTATTCTCTCATCTTTAAACGCAAAACCCTAGCCCCTTGTATTCTGCTTTGTTTCTTTGTTATCTCTATACTCACTGATCTAAATTGGTTTATCCCTCGATTATTTTAACCTTTCTTTATAGTATTTACTTATTCACACCCTCCATTCTCTATGTTTGCAATTTCCTTTGGGTTTGTATCAGTTTCCGAACATTTCTATTCTTATTCTGGATTCCAGTGTATTCACTCCTACTTTTACCCTAGTCTGGTTGCAAAGGCTTTAACTGTCTATCTAGAGCTTCTTCCCTGAATCTCTTTACTCTTCACCTATCTTTTTTTTAAACCTTGGCAGATCTTTGCTAAGCTTCTTATCATCCCTTCTAAAGTACCCATCCTGGTCTGCCAGCTATTTGTTTTCACCTATTTTTGAGTCACCAAACTGATGCCATTGCTTTTCTCTCTAGTCACCTCCTGCCCAACCAAGTTGTTTTCACACAGCTCTAAAGGAAATGCAGTTAATCAATGTCTGCATTGTTAACTCAGTAAAACTTCTCCAGCAATAACAGCTTATCTTCCTTTGGAGACTCTTTGGATTCCAATAGCAGCATTGCTGTTGATAGTATCCCTTCCATTATGCTCCGCTTATGTATCTTGAAACTTATTCCTGCTCTGTTATCTCTTCACACTTCTACTTCTTGCCCATCTTTCCTTCTTGGAAGTTTGCTTGCATTCGTATCTGACTTAAGAAATTATCTATTCTATCTTTCTACTTACAACGCTGTCATCTTATGCAAAAATAAAGCTTGTTAGCTGGGAGGATTGAATGTGAAACACTAATAATGTAATATCCAATGAACTGTCATAGCCTCAGGATCTAGCTGCGGGAGTGGTAGCGAGGGACGGAGCAGGAGAGAATGGACTTTTTTTTTCTTTGTTATATCCACTTTTCTGTGTGGTAAATGTATCAGGCCTACAGTTGCACATAGGGAAGCCATTTGAGTTGTCTCTGTTGAAATTTAATATCTTCAGTTCTTTTCTATCTGCACCAGCATTCCAACTCAAAGAGGAGTTTTGAATCTAGTTTGCTGCTAAATAATTGGAGTGTTTGCCTCCAGTACACTACTTACAAATCATTCCAGTAATTAGTTGAAATGTCCATAAGGAATGCTTCCTCAAACTGTACTTTGCATTGCTTTTCACAAGTTTGTGTTTTTCTTTTTGACCTGCAATTGTCATATAACTTGAATTATTGCTTTTGATTTAACCCTTTCTATGCTACTTTGTTTCAAATGTAAAAAAATCATATACATGTATCCCATTTCAAGATGGTAGAGTAATCAGTTGTTCTAAACTTTCTTTGTAATTAATCTTGAAATGGCCCCCTAGTCCTTCTCCATATGGTTGTATATAGAGATTGTCAGTAGTTTGGATGCTTCATCTGTGCCCCAGTCACTTCAGAATAGAGTTCAGTATGGGACATGCAGGTCAGTACAGCTTGAGCATTTCAGCCTTAAGACTTGCACTCTGCCGACCTTGAAATAAATTCCATGTTCTGCTTACTTAGCTGTTTGATGCTGTGCAATGCCTAAACTATAACTGCATCTGTCACTCTAGTTTGTTTGATGTCAGTCATTAAGTATATTCCCCGTATTTGTTTATATTGCCTTGCTAATATTTTGAATAGTGACCCCCCCTTCCCCCACCTTTAAAATTGTCAAGGTCGGAATTGTCTAATAGAAATCACTGACTCGTCACATGTGGCTATAGCAACACTGTTTTAGCTACATGGACTCAAATGTTTTATATACTACAGATAAAATTCACACATGATGTTACTAGATAAAAGTGCCAATCTTGGACTCCCTCCCAGAGAACAGTCATGCGTGGCATTCCATTTACTGGATGAGATTCTAATTTCTGGGAACTCCCAGTTTATATTAGGTTGGTAAAAATCCCCTATTAGCATGAACTTTCTGTTTGGACATATTTATCTCTTTATTTTGTTTTAATGATTTTAAGGCAAATATAAAACTTTTTTTGTCTTACCATATTTCATTACTGTGTCTCCATATGTGCCTACTGCTCTCATTTGGAGCTTTCTTAATGTGGCTGCTGTTTTTTTTGACCATAGATTATTCATGATTCTGAGTCTGTCGTCATGACTTAGTTTCAACTGGCACACAGCCTAGAGATCAACCACATTACTGAAAATGTATCTGACATCTGTATACATTTGCTGTAAGAGATTATGCCTGCATTTAAACATTCTTTTCTTTGCTTTATTTTTCAGGGACCACGATCACACTTTGGGATTAAACCAGTTTTAAGATGTATAAAATTGTTTTGCATTAATTATTTTATATCATATTCATTTGCAGCTGATTATTGTCTGTTCCATAGACCTCTGCCTCTTCTGTTTACCTACTATGTTACACTGTTAAAAGGCTTTGAGTACAATTTAGGCAAACCGACCCTATTTTTGTTTTTTGTTCACAGTGCCACACCTCAGCTAGTCACTACAACTTCTCCAGCACAACAAGCAGAAAATGAAGCAAAGGCAAGTTCTTCTGTTAATGTAAATGAATTGCAACCAACCACTAGTATCCAGATACGGCTTGCAGATGGAGGGCGTCTTGTTCAGAAGTTCAATCACACGCATAGGTAAGATAATGGCATCCAGAATCATTTTCCAGCTTATTCCAGTTTTCAGAAGGAATTTAAAGTTACTAATTGTCATAAAGCAGCCTTTGTATGAAATGGATTCTGATAGTCCCCTGTCCCTGCAATAGTTATTGTATCAAAAACATTAAGTGATCTGACTTCCCAATTCTGCAGAAATTCTTGTAACGATGTCAACATGGGAGAGAAAATGTCATTTCTGTCCTGCCTTTTTCTCAGAAAAGCAGACTTTTACTGGAGTTCAATATACCATTTTTCCAAAGGCACTTTATTCCAGGCACATTATTTAAGTGTGAACCTCAGCATAAGTATTGGATTATTTAATCATGGATATCATTTGATCATTCTGTGATCTTAGACCCATTCAGAATACATTACAATGTGTTTTATGCTGTGTCCTTTGAGCTATAAGACCACTTATAGTACTCCAAACGTCATCTGACTTGCTGAGCTAGCTAGTACAGCCTGGAAAGAAACTGTATCTGGGACCATTTTGATGTATGAGGCTCAGTCTATGCGTTTTTCAAACTTCGGAAAAGCAACATAATTTTTCACTTTCCTCCTTTTGAAATATTCCTTAAAACCAGTGTCTTTAGCCAAATGTTTGGTCCATCTGCGCTGATGTCTCATTATGAGGCTTGGTGCCACATTTTATGCTTTTGTGCTGCTCCTTTGGATATTTTATTATATTTATGGAGCTATATAAATCTAACTTGTTTTGTAGTGCAGTGACTCTTTCATGACAGTCAATTTAGTCCAGCAACATCTCTCAATTTTCATGAAGTAATTGATGAGTAAATGTTATATTAATAATATTATCTGAGAAAAGATAAATGGCCAAGGCACTGAAAGTAGTGCCTGGTTGCATTCAAATAATACAATGCAAGTTTCAACATTTAAACTATTTGAGTAGACTATCTATCTATTTTACTTCATTCAAAAAATCTTACCTTGATCAGCTTAGCACACTTGCAGCAGTGTACTGGAGAGTTGGCTTGAATTGTGTGCTTACAACTGATTGTTTCCAATATTTCCCCAGTTGACTATCCTTTGTGTCTTGAACCTTGGATATTGAGCATACGTATTAAATTCAGCCATGCTACAAGGTTATTAGAACTCAATTCTGTCAGTATCCTCATCAAACAACTATACTTCTACACTTTTCCAGCAATAGTCGTTGGTAGACAATGTGAAGACAGATTCCTGATTTGAATTTCTTTTAATTTCTTTTGCTTTGTTTAGATGCGTACTGAAGCAAACCTCTATTGTCACTCTAGTTAAGATCAACAAGCTCAGAATAAACTCTGATTTTTGTCTAAATACTTCAGTCACACTGGATTAACTTCCTTCAGCCATTAAGTCAGCAAATAAAGTGCCTGATTTAGATTAGAACTTGAATTTCTAGACAATATAACATTATAAGGTTTTGGAGTATAACATTATTATCAAGAACAGATTGATCGTGTTGGTGTCCTTTCTTTAGAAATTCTAGATCACTCAGTCTGTATAGAAAACTTGAGATTTTTTTCTAATAATTTATTAAAGGAAAAATAACTTTTTTTTTTTCTTTTGTCCACAGTGTTCAGGATATTCGACATTTCATTATTGATGCCCGTCCGGCTTTGGCGTATACTCCTTTTGTGCTGATGACCACCTTCCCCAGCAAAGAGCTGACAGATGAGAATAAGACCCTGAAAGATGCCAATCTGCTGAATGCTGTAATAGTGCAGAGGCTGAAATGAATGCACTTCTCCATCAAACCTCATGTTTGTGGAGTATTTGAACTGTTCGGACTTTGTTAGTTTAACTCACTGGTTGTGATAAATTGGAGAAAATGCTTTTAAATGAAACTGTTTACCCTTGGGGTTACTGAAGTGATAACATGTGAGCATTCAGTTACACAGCTTTATGCGTGACTTTGTGATATAAACCTTAATTGCGTATTTTGATTTGTAACTTTTTTTGCAATTTTTAAGTGAAAATACTATACATTAAAAGTTCAAATTCACAAATATAAGTTGATGCGATCCTACTAACTTCTACTTTCCTGTGACTGCTGTTGTATTGTGGATAGGGTTGCAACTTGACTGAAAATTGCATTCTAATGTTCATTTCAAATTTAAAACATTCTATGTTGTGAAATGGGTCATGTATCCAGCATTGTTCATTTTGTACATTACTGCATCAAATGAATGATCTGAGCAGAATGTTATTGTGAGTTTTATTTTTAGCCTGGATAATGATTTTGCTTACTGTAGGATGGAACGGTTTGCAAAAAGAGTTTTTTTTTTTAAAGCATATTGTGGGTCAAAGTTCTAGATGGAGCAGATCCTTTAGTTCATCAAAATGCCTAGAAGTTCAATAACAGTAATAGCAAGCTTGACCTTTTTCTCCTGTACCTGTATTTACTCCATGCTACAGAAACAAGCTATTTGACTCATTGAGCCTTGAATTGATTTTTTTTTTTCATGTGTAATCCCACTCTAGTTTTTGCTCTTCAGTACCATTGTCGTCTTTTTGAAGATTACTTTAAAAAATTACTTGAGGTGATTTGTGCAAATAATTTTATATTCTAATTACACTATAAAGAATTTTCTTTGTAATGGTTTGCCCTTTCTCTAACCAGTGACATCAATCTAATAACCATGTAACTCTTCATAATCTTAAGCTTTGTAAATTCTGCACAGAATAGGAGACAAAACATCTATTTCCACTTCCTAAAGCTCTTTAACAGAACCGTGATTATGGAGGTTGTGTTTCTGTCTACATGTTCTACGTTTAGTGTTACTGCTTTATTGTTGAAAAGTGCCTTGATCTCTGAAGCATGTATGGCAATCTTTGCTGCATCTGTTCATTTCTGTGACTAGAGAACAAAAACAACAATGTACTATGGTCTGTTGTGTTGAGCAGTGTGTGCTGGCTAAAGGAGTTCTCCTTTATTTTGATGCAAATCACAATATTAATTTACATCAGTTTTTTTTTAAAACAGCAGAGCAAAATCCATGATACAGACTATCACAAAGCAGAACTGCATTGAATGGAGTTATACTTTTTGGAACTTTAAAGGAATCATCAAAGAATTAGTGATGCTGAAGTATTAGAGGATTTAACAGTACAGGTTTCATTTTGACAAATTCAATGGGATAAAGATTCTGACATCAATATTACCAGTGCAAAATAGCAAAATTGGCTAAATTATCGTAACATTTTAGTGAATTTTAATTTTGAACATTGAGTTTCTGTGATGTTCATTGCAAATTTGTTTTTGTGTAAGTGGACTGTTTCCATCAAATTAGTTAAAGCCCCAGCTTGAAGTTTGAATATCCATTCATTAGCTATGTGAGGATAATCATCAAAAATAGTCTTTTTAAGCCCATAGGCATAAGTACTCATGTTTTAGAGATTATTTACATATTTTTTTAAAAATACTACAACTGATGAATGAAACTAGTCAAAAAAAATTCAGCCTATTTTGTTAAAAAGTAACTTGCAGTGATTTAGAATCAAGTTACCGTTGGAGGTTTGAATGTATTAAAAAAATTGTGATAACCTCATTTTTTTAGCTGTGCTTTTAGAAGAAAAAGCACCTGGTTACAACTGGAGTACGTCAATGAAAAGATGCAAATCTAAGAAAATAACACATTTTGTTTTTACTGTACATAATCACAAACTCTTCCAGTTTAGTTGCAAGTGGAATTTATGCCCTAGTTTCCCAGTTGCATCCAAAGCTGAAACTCCAAGTGTTGTTGAATTCTGGAATTGGGAAAGCGCTTAAACTTGTCCAGTTAGCAATTTATTTTTCTATCAAAACCAACAGGCATACATCAACAAAAAAACTTTCTTGTTTTCCTAATATCTAACTGTCTGAAGGTTATCCTTCTTAAAGAAACTATAGTGCCTGATTGTGTCCAGAAATCCCAAACCACTTTACATTTTAGAAGTATTTGATTAGATTTAATCATTCCTTTGTGGATAAACTTGACATAATTTGACAGCTTCAAGATCTCTTGGTAACAAAGCTGAAGCTTGATGAAATGTTTGGTAATGTTTATCAGGTTGTAAACCCTAGGAAATGTTTCTAATTGTTAACAATATTAAACCCTGTTGAACTTGCTGCTACTATACCAATAACTACATTCGTACGTTACAGGTTTTGTTCCGCTGACTTATTCTGAGGGATAGTATTGCTTGAGGTAGTATTTAATCCCCCAAAGCTAATGAAGTAGAGATCAAATTGACAAACATTACCATTATTCACCCTTGGCTTGGGCCCACTATGCATACCCTGCAGTCCCAATATCCACAAAGTAATAAAAATATGTTTAAGAGTTCTTCTACTTCTATCCCAGACATTGTACTCTTTCTGTGTCACCAATTGATCCCAATAGCTGACCTCACTTCACCTGTGTTATGCAGCATGTCATTTACTTACCAATTTCTTAGTAAATGAGAGACACACAGGAATTTAGCCAGTGCCCCATACACTCACTCATTGGAGTGCACACTTAAGTTTTGGCTGAATTGAATTTTCATGCTTTTGGTGCAAGATTAATTCAGAAATTAAATTATTCATAAATCTTTCACATTATCATTTTGGGCTTGGGCATATTTAGTAATGAGATATAATAAGTGGCACTGGAGAAAGGAAACTGGTGACTTCAGACCTACGGCTCTAACAGCTTCCCACTAAAGCGTACTGAGGTCAGCATTCCTCGTTCCTACTTACAAATGTGGTGGTGGTGAGCTACTACCTTGAATTGCTGATGTATACACGTGGAGATTGTTAGCAAGGGTTATCTAAGATTTTGGATAAAGTTCTGTCATATTATTGGTATAATTGAAACTCATCTCACCCTACGATCAAGTAGGGGTGGGATCAATAGAGAGAGCTGAGCAAATACGCTGTGAGCTGTTATGGTGTGACACGTTTCACATATGAAGTTAAAACACCCGAGCTTCTCCAACACTTTCGAAAAAAGGGGCATCTGTGGCGATGAAAAAAACGTTAACTTTCCAGCCCAGTGCCCCTTCAATGTGATGCTATCAGTCCCACTGAATTTCTCCAGCACTTTCTGATTTTTGTTTCAGGTTAACAGCATATAAAGTTTTGTTTTTATTCTACATATAAGGTTGATGCTTTTTTTTGGTTATAAGGTCCTTTGCAAGATGTGGCTGGCACCAGCTAGGCCAATATTTATTACCCATTCCTCAGTGCTCACGAGAAAAGTGGTGATGAGCCCCTGTAACCATCTCGTGTACTTCAAATAAAACCTTGTTAAGAACGGCGCTGTTGTGTTGTTCCAACTCAGGATAATGTGTGGTTTTTATGGGGATTAGTGTACGTATGTTTGAATGTAGTGGTGTTCATGTGCATTCGCTACCCTTCTCCTAAATGACGGAGATCGAGACTTTGGAAGTTTAATTTGACGAGTTAGTGCAATGCATCTTGCCGGTTACTAGTTGAAATCTTAGCATCCCCGTTACCTTGAGTGCCTGTGAAAGGAAGGGGCAGTTGCTCGGGTTGTAATAAATGAAGCAGCCGATCGGAGGCGCAGCTTCACTGTGCAATAGGAAAATTGAAAAGTGTTGTAATCTCACTTCAATCGTTGATGGCAAAATTCACACGAAAAGAGTAGAAAGCAAGTTCCACACTATTGTTCTCTCTCTCTCTCTATACATATATATAGTTTCTTAGCCCTCCCCCTTAAGTTTGCACATTGAAGCTGTTTTAAAAATAAAAGGACGTACTAGAGCTGACAGGAACCCAGAAAGTTGTACTTGAAATTGCTACCTGCTCGCAGAGAATCTGGAGGAACCAGCGCCTCAGCTTCACCCTTGAGGAGGGCAGTAGAAAGTCCCGGACTGGTATCCAGGAGCCGGGCCGATCCAAACCCCGAACTGGATCGGGCTCGCCAGCAGCAGGAGGGATAGGAGCCTGTTGCTGTCGGCGGCTCGGTGACGCTGCTCCGGCCGCCGCTCGATCACAATCCCCGGGGGTGTGACGAGGCGACAGCTCCGTCTGAAGCTGCTGCTTTCTGTGAGAGGGACCCGAGTGAGTCCTGCCAGCTGCCCGCCCGATGGGGTCTGAAGAGGGGAGCCTGGGTGAGAAGTTACTGGAAGAGGAGGAGACTGAACCCCAGCCCGGGGGCTCCGTGCGGGTTCTGCAGGTGAGAAGCAGCCAGAGAATTAAAATAAAACAAAGGTGGCGGATCCTGGATTCAAAAAGGGGGCATATGTAAAACGAAATTAGAACAGTAAACGCAGTAAATACACATTAAAGTGGTCAGCATCATAAATAGAGATGTATGGCCTGAGTTAACGCAGTAAAAGGATAAAAACAGTGCTAGAGAAACTCAGCAGATCTGTCAGCATCTGTGCAAAGAAAAACAACAACTCTCCAATTCTTTGGTTTAATCACTAATATGTGGATTCTGTACATGGGGCTAGCTGTGACAATTCAAATCCCAACAGTAATAATTGGAAACAGTCAAATTAATTTGAGGGGAATTATTAAACTAGCAACTGAAACATTGAAACAAATCACAAGTCTGTTTAAAATTTATCTGGAGAAGTCCTTAAACACTATAAGTTACAGGGATAACAATAGCTAGAACAGCAGGTGTTTCAGTTACTGCAGTATTTCCTCTGGGATGGTATGTATTGAATTTATTTGGACTGTTGGCAGAATCTAACCTGGCTGTAAAACACTGCATAATCTGAAAAATGCCAAGTGATTTTCAAACTATTAGTTGAAGGACCCCTTTTTAAAATAATTTATAATCATGGACTCCCACCTCCCATCAAAGTTCCACTCTTCATCATATAGTTGTGGTGCACATGAAAATATTGCTTATTTTCAGAAACATACCTCATTTAGTCTTTGGTATTTCAAAAAGAAAACTTCCTTTTTTTTAAACAAAGCTGAACTCAGCTGCCTCCTTGGTATTTGTGGATATACATGGAAATTTGACTCTCGTTGCACCTCAGTTCAGCTTCACCCCCCCCCCCCAATAAAGCTGATAAGAGAGAGCCTGCCCACTCTATGCTTATTTGTTCTCTTAGTCTACTGTGGTGCTTGTCTAACCACACTGTGCTCGGTTCTCACTTGCATCACCCATTTTTAGGGCCAGCCTTGCTTAATCAGCATTTTACATGATTATCGAGCACCTCTGGGCAGTTAACAGATCTTGAGAAATCTATGGACCATGGTTTGAGAACTACTGAGTTAACTAACCAAACTTTTTTTTCCAAGATATATAGATGAAGTAAAACTATTTGGTTGAGATACAAAGATGTTATTGATTGTGAAATGATTTGAAACATTTGGTAGACTTGGAAGAACAAAAAGTAAAGCATTATACCTGAAATAAGTTGATCTTAACGCTAACCCTACTGTCCGCCCTTCACACACTTTGACTTTTTTGCCCTTTCTCCACAGAAGGGCAATGGACGAGCACTGCCATTCTGTCGGAAGATCTGCTTTGCTGTTGGAGGTGCACCGTATCAAATGACAGGAAATGCTATTGGTTTCTTCCTCCAGATATTCCTACTGGATGTTGTTCAGGTAAAATCCATTTATATGACCCTGTCCATTTTCAAGTTTGTAGTCATCATTCCAGTGAGGCTGTTATGCTGTGGTCTGGTACCAGACTAGTATGCTAAACATCATGAATTCAGATTCTTCTGTGACAACTTGGGAAATAAAATTCAATACATTTATTTAAATCTGCCAAATTATAGTTCTAATCCTAATTAAGTCCACTGTTAACATCCTTCAGTAAAGGTAACCTGTTATTCCTAACTAGTCTCGTCTATTTGTGACTGCGATGCAACAATGTGTGGTGCAATTTAAGGTATGCAATTATTATGTATTTTGGTTTAATTTATTTCAGAGTCTGGATCTGAGGCAAGTGGATTTTGGTCTGTGTGCGTGAAAGGGTTTAGTTAATAACTTCTCAATATTTATGGAACAATGTTTAAGGCTCTAGAGGGATACAAGTTATCCAGGAAGGAGCTGAAGAAAGGGCTTAGGAGAGCTATAAGGGGGCATGAAAAATCCTTGGCAGATAGGATCAAGGAAAACTCCAAGGCTTTTTACAAGTATGTGAGGAATAAGAGAATGACCAGAAAAAGGGTAGGACCGATCAAGGAGCCTAAAGAGATAGCGGAGGTCCTTAATGAATACTTTTCTTCGGTATTCACAACTGAGAGGGACCTAGTTGTAGAGGAGGACAGTGTGAAACAGGCTGGTAGGCTAGAGGAGGTTGCCATTAGTAAGGAAGATGTGCTAGGAATTTTTAGGAAGTTGAAGATACATAAGTCCCCCGGGCCTGATAGGATTTATCCAAGGATTCTATGGGAAGTGAGGAAAGAGATCGCAGGGCCTTTGGCGATGATCTTTTTGTCCTCACTGTCCACAGATATAGTGCCGGAAGATTGGAGAGAGGCAAACGTCATTCTCTTGTTCAAAAAAGGGAATAAGGATAACTCTGGAAATTACAGGCCAGTTAGTCTTATGTCAGTGGTGGGCAAATTATTGGAAAGGGCTCTGAGAGATAGGATTTATGATCACTTGGAAAGGCACAGTTTGATTTGTGATAGTCAGCATGGATTTGTGAGGGGTAGATCATGCCTCACAAACCTTATTGAATTCTTTGAAGAGGTGACCAAACATGTGGATGAAGGTAGAGCAGTGGATGTGGTATACATGGATTTAAGTAAGGTTGATAAGATTCCCCATGGTAGGCTCATGCAGAAGGTAAGGAGGCATGGGATAATGGGAAATGTGGCAGATTGGATGCAGAATTGGCTGACCCTTAGAAGACAAAGGGCGGTAGTGGACGGAAAATATTCAACATGGTACTCAGTTACGAGTGGTGTACCACCAGGATCTGTTCTGGGTCCTCTTCTATTTGTGATTTTTGTAAATGATTTGGATGAAGGAGTGGAAGGGTGGATTAGTAATTTCGCGGATGATACGAAGGTGGGTCATGTTGTGGACAGTGCGGAGGGCTGTTCTAGGTTACAAAAGGACATTGATAGGATGCAGAGCTGAGCTGAGAAGTGGCGGATGGAGTTTAACCCTGAAAAGTGTGAGGTGATTCATTTTGGAAAGAAAAACTTGAAAGCAGAATACAGGGTTAACGGAAAGATTCTTGGCAGTGTGGAGGAGCAGAGGGATCTTGGGGTTCATGTCCACAGTTCCCTGAAAGCTGCCACCCAGGTGGATAGAGTTGTTAAGACGGCGTATGGTGTGTTAGCTTTCATTAATAGAGGGATTGAGTTCAAGAGCCGTGAAGTTATGCTCCAGCTATACAAAAGCCTGGTTCAGCCACATCTGGAGTATTGTGTCCAGTTCTGATCGCCACATTACAGGAAAGATGTGGAAGTGTTGGAAAAGGTGCAGAAGAGATTTACCAAGGTGTTGCCTGGAATGGAGGGAAGGTCTTACGAGGAAAGGTTGAGAGAGCTAGGGCTTTTCTCTTTAGAACGACGAAGGATGAGAGGTGACTTGATAGAGGTGTACAAAATGATCAGAGGTATAGATAGAGTAGACAGCCAGAGACTTTTTCCTAGGGTGAAGGTAGCTATTACGAGGCGGCATAGTTTTAAAGTGAGTGGAGGTAGATATAGGGGAGACGTCAGAGTTAGGTTCTTTATTCAGAGAGTGGTAGGGGCGTGGAATGCATTGCCAGAGAGGGTAGTGGAGTCGGCCTCATTAGGGGCATTTAAGCGGCTATTAGATAGGCATATGGATGATAGTATAAGGTAGGGGTGGAGGTTAGATAGACCTTAGGTTTAGGGTAAAAGTTTGGCACAACATCATGGGCTGAAGGGCCTGTACTGTTCTATGTTCTAATGTTTCTTTCTAAGTCAGTATGAGAGAGAGAGTGAGTGATTGAGTTCCTGGGATGCAAATGGGAACTTGTTTTCATTGGAAGAGTTTTGTGAGCAGAAAGGATAAACATTGAAAAGTATTAGGCTGATTTCAATTGGAAGGATCAGAAATTTTTTTTGGCATGGGGAAAATGCCCAAAGCTTGGAAACCTTTTGGTTTCAGCTCACAAACATCCTGGTTGAAGTTGGATAGATTAAACAGTTCTCCTAGTACAAGGAGTTCATTTGGAGAAGATAGAGATTGGTTACTTCCACGTGAGAGGTCTTTAGTTTGAAAGTCCCAGATCTGAAATGTTTATTTTGAATCATTTAAGGATTATTTAAAGGTAACAACAGCTAAGCTCAGTTGTGAATATTCAAGGAAGAGGCCATCAAATTCATAAGACTGGGAATTGAAAACAAAGTGAAGTCAAACCTGATAAAGAAGAGTAAATTCTCTTTTGCTATTGGAGTATGGTAAAGGGGTCCTGCTGGATTAGGTAACGTATTGTGTTTCACTGTGTGTTTCAAAATCTTTCATTGTGTTATGTAAATATCTTGGTTTATTCTATTTTATCATCTCTCTGTCTAATAAACGTATGTTTTGTTGTTTTAAACCAGATTTGCAGTATTATGTATTTCTGTCGGAGTGAAAGATCTCTTTGTTAAGTAACACAAAACAAAAGCTAGATTTCAGTCTGGGATCTGATTTTGTTTATTAATAACATCAGCTGGAATCATAACATCAACTAACTTTTACTACCTTCAGAAAACATTTAACAAACCGGAGAGTTGTGATTTCCCACACTATACCCCTACTTGTGGACACTTCACTCACAAACCTGAGATAACAAGGTGTAGAGCTGGATGAACACAGCAGGCCAAGCAGCATCAGAGGAGCAGGAAGCTGACGTTTCGGGTCGAGACCCTTCTTCGGAAAATCACTCTCAAACCTGTCGTCATCAGAAAGGGAGACTGACCCCAGTTGATAGAAAATGGCAAAGGGCAAACTTAATAACATCCACACCTGTTGCCATAAGCATTAAGAGCAGGGGTAGGCCACAGGCACCTTGAGCTTAATCCTTCAATCAATAAGATCTTGACTTCAACTTCACCTTTCAGCCCGATTCCCATATCCATCAATTTGCTTTGTCTTCAAAGCTCTGTTATTCTTGCTGTTAAGTAGACTAAACAGCTAAGTGTCCAGAACCTTCTGGGATAGAGAATTCCAAGATTCACAACTCTGAGTGAATAAATACCTCATTGTTTCAATTCAAGATAACTGTGTCTCTATATTCTGATTCTACGCCCCCTATTTCTATATATATCCCAGACAAGCAAGTGCCCTTCCAAGCCCCCTTAAAACTTTGTTTCAATGAAATCAACTTCCAATCAACCTCCAGAAAATATAGCTACTGTTACTGTTTAATGTTCCCACTCTGTATCTGAAGTCAGAAGTCACACGACACCAGGTATTTATCTGAAATCACAAGCTTTCGGAGCACTGCTCCTTCATCAAGTGAGCACCTGATGAAGGGGTAGTGCTGCAAAAGCTAGTGATTTAAAATAAACTTGTTGGACTATAACCTAGTGTCATGTGACTTCTGACTATGTCCAACCCAGTTCCACATCAGTGGCACCCCAACAGCATATCTGTTGTATGTGCAAGCTTAAATCAATAACACTTTTTTAAACTAAATATTGCAAATGCTCAATGTTATGCTTTAAATATGTATTTGTAGATTTACATAACATGCACAGTAGAAGACAATGTTCTTCAGCTAAATGGTTCCACCTTCATCTATGCCATCCTGTGATTAATTCTTGTTTCCCACTCCTGTGTTTCATAATTAAATACCCATGCTTTTAGTCACTTAAACTGTTTCCCTCTAGAACTGAGCTACTGGATTGTCCTCCTTTTAATGTTTCCTGTTTCTCAGAATTTTCATCACAATCCTTGTAGTTATGTTTTGTTTAAGTCACTAGCCCTAATTTTATACTTCTCCTTTTACTCCTCTGGATGCATGTCCACCAATTTTCCTCGTCTTTGCAAGGCCCGTTAAGTGGTACTTTTGTGTGATGAGGCCTGTAGCAGTCGTCATGACAATAATGGCAGTAGGAGTTATTTATGTTCGAGAACATGACTATTCCAGTACTGTCCTATCATGTACCTTCTCTCCTTGATGCAGCCTTCCCTACTTCTCAATCTCCTCTAATCCTACAGCCTTTTGAGGTCTCTGCACTCCTCCAATCCTGGTGTGCCTTAAAGCCTGATTTTCTTGACTGCATGTTTAGCACTGCCTTCAGCAACCTCGGTCCTATTGTGGAATCTCCTCTCTAAAGCTATCCATCTCTCTCTCTCTCTCTCTTATTCATAGAGCTGTTTAGCACGGAAACAGACCCTTCAGTCCAACTCATCTATGCCGACTGGATATTCTAAATTAATCTAGTCCCATTTGTCAGCACTGGGCCCATATCCCTCTGAACCTTTCCTATTCATATCCACGTCCAGATGCTTTTTAGATGTTGTAATTGTATCAGCTTCACCACTTCCTCTAGCAGCTTATTCCCTACACGCACCACCCTCTGTGTGGAAAAGGTTGCCCCACAGGACCCTTTTAAATCTTTCCCCTCTCATCATAGACCTATGTTATTTAGTATTGTACTCCCCAACTCCAGGGGAAAAGACATTGTCTATTCACCCTCTCCAATGTGCCCCGTGATTTTATAAACCTCTATAAGGTCACCCCTCAACCTCTGACGCTCTAGCGAAGATAGCCCCAGCCTGTACAGCCTCTCCCTATATCTCAAACCCTCTAACCCTGGCAACATTCTTCTAAATCTTTTCTGAACACTTTCAAGTTTCACAACATCCTTTTTATATCAGGGAGACCAGAATTGCACGCAGTATTTCAAAAGTGGCCTAACCAATGCCTTGTACAGTTGCAACATGACCTCCCAACTCCTATACTCAATGCACTGACCGATAAAGGCAAGCATACCAAACACCACCTTCACTACCCTGTCAACCTGTGACTCCACTTTCAAGAAACTATGTACCTGCATGCCAAGGTCTCTTTGTTCAGCAACACTGTCCAGAATGATACCATTAAGTGTATCAGTCCTGCCCTGATTTGCCTCCAAAATGCAGCACCTCACGTTTGTCTAAATTAAACTTCATCTGCCACTCCTCAGCCCATTGGCCCAACTGATCAACGTCCTGTTGTACTCTGAGGTAACCTTCTTTGCTGTTCACTGCACCTCCAATTTTGGTGTCATTTTTTTCTCACTCATTCCTGGGTTGAGAGCATTGCTGACTAGGCAACGTTTATTGCCCATCCCTAATTGCTCAGAGGGCAGTTAAAAGTCAACCATATTGCTGTGGGATTGGAGTCACATGTAGGCCAGACCAGGTAAAGATGGTAGTTTCCTTCCCTAAAGGACATCATCTGCAAGCTTACTAACCATACCTCCTATGTTCACATCCAAATCATTTATAAAAATGACAAAAAGCAGTGGACCCAGCACCGATCCTTGTGGCACACAGATGGTTACAGACCTCCAGTCTGAAAAGCAACCATCCACCACCATCCTCTGTTTTCTACCTTGGAGCCAGTTCTGTATCCAAATAGCTAGTTCTCCCTGTATTCCATGTGATCTAATCTTGCTAACCAGTCTACCATGAGGAACATTGTTGAAGTCCATATAGTTTACGTCCACTGCTCTGTCCTCATCAATCCTCTTTGTTACTTCTTCAAAAAACTCAATCAAGTTAATGAGACACGATTTCCCACGCACAAAGCCATGTTGACTATCACTAATCAGTCCTTGCCTTTCCAAATACATGGAAATCCTGTCTCTCAGGATTCCCTCCAACAACTTGCCCACCACTGATGTCAGGCTCATTGGTCTATAATTCCCTGGCTTTTCCTTACTAACTTTCTTAAATAGTGGCACCACGTTAGCCAACTTCCAGCCTTCTGGCACCTTACCTGTGGTTATTGATGATACAAATATCTCAGCAAGGGGCCCAGCAATCACTTCCCTAGCTTCCCTAACTTCCCACAGAGTTATAGGGTACATCACATCCGGTCCCAGGGATTTATCTACCTTTATGCATTTTAAGATATGCAGCACATCACCTCTGTAATATGGTCATTTTTCAAGAGGCTGCTATTTATTTCCCTAAATTCTCTCCCGTATCCTTCTCCACAGTAAACACTGATGCAAAACTCGTTCAGTATCTTCCCCCATCTGCTGCGGTTCCACACATAGGTGGCCTTGCTGATCTTTGAAGGGCCCTTTTCTCTCCCTAGTTACTCTCTTGTCCTTAGCATATTTGTAGAGTCCTTTTGGATTCTCCTTAATCCTATTTGCCAGAGCTATCTCATGTCTCCCTTTTGCCCTCCTGATTTCCCTCTTAAATATACTCCTACTGCCTTTATATTCTGCTAGGGATTCATTCGATCTCTGCTGTCTATACGTGACATGTGCTTCCTTTTTATTTGACCAAAACATCAATTTCTCTAATCATCCAGCATTCCCCACACCTACCAGCCTTGCCCTTCGCCCTAACAGGAACATACTGTCTCTGGATTTTTCCTTGGAGATGCTCATTCAAAGCTATTTATTATATTGAAACTGTACTTCTATAAATATAGGATTTGTGGGATTTTGTTTTCACCAAGAAATGAAAACACAATAATCATTTCTCGCATGGGCAAATGCTACATTAATCTGTCAACATACAAAAACAGGCCAAGGAATGCAAATACCAATTTTGTGAGAAATCTGGCTTTGTGACTTGTTTATAATCAGAGAATATGAAAATCTAATTGGACTGAAAACTGTTCAAGAAATGAGTACTCTATTTTCTTGAAATCTACTATTTTTAATTTCAACGTCTATCATCAAAGAAGATTGCTTCCTAACTACCAGTCTTACTCCATGAAGAAGTCCTTGTTTAGAATTCAAATTTCATAGTAGCATTTTAACTTCTTCCTTGAGGCCAGTTTGTGTGGAAGCATGTCCAGCAGAAATTCTGTACAGAAACAACAGCTGATAGTTGTCACATGAATGAAAAAATCTTCTAAAGTTTTTATATTCAAATCTTGCAAATCTTCCTTTTTAACATGAAGAATTGGCTTTGAATAGTTTGTATGAATTTATTGTTCCTACCGTTTGCCACACTTAACCAATTCAATCATTTCACGTATCCTTTTTGTATCATACCCATCCCAATACCAATTCATCTTTTCCTTCGCATCCATCTCGTCCAATCCACATTCCATTCATTTCATGTCACCACCGTTCTCCTTTTGCCATTTAACATCCTTCCCATCAGTCCCATCCCACAGAAATAAGCCCTTTAACCGGGGCCGCTTTGTTTTTGGGGCCCCTCTTAACATTCACTTTTATTTCTCTGCACCAGCTCCACTGCCCAACAGCTGTAGCTAGCAACTGTTGGCAGCTGCACACGCACCGCACATTCAGGCTTCTGAGTGCCACCAAGAAACCCCTGCATTGATCAGATATCTCCTGTAAAATGATCCCATGGTCAGCCATGCTGCTTAAAATGATCAATCCAAATAGTCTGGGCAGACTAAATATTGATTTCAATTTGTATTAAATTGAATCATTTTGGGGTTTGAGATTACTTCTGTTTCCTTTAGCACAATTACAGTTCAAGTTTGTCATTGACTTTTCGTGACAGTAATTCAAATGTGCAGGATCTGCATGTACACAATAATGCTTACTTTGTCAATGAACCTTTCTTTCTTTCAGATGGAGGCTTTCTATGCGTCTCTCATTTTGTTCATTGGTCGGGTTTGGGATGCTTTCACTGATCCCATTGTTGGATTCCTCGTCAGTAAAAGCAGAAGGACAAGATTTGGAAAGTTGCTTCCTTGGTGAGAATATCTTGAATCATATTTTCTTACTACATATAGGGGATTAATTGAAAAAAGTCCTCTAATTCTCTCTTGTGGCAGATGTTTTAAGCTCAGCACGTTTAGATAGAAGAGTGTCTGCTGCCTAAGATATTAGGATAAGGATAATCGGCTGATGATGTGGCTGTGTAATTGAACACTACATTGCCTGGATCTGTAATCTTCATTAACACAGAATAATGTGAAGAACTAACGTATGCACAAAGTCACAGGTGCTTATTTTGTCCTAAGGAATTTTAAATGAATATTGTCAATTTTAGAGGGATCTGAGCAATGTGGGCAACGGTGAGATGTGTGGCAAAATCAGGTGCTGAGTGTGACAAGACCCACCTCAGCATCAAGATCATCTTGTTCTGTCTTGTAGCTTTTCACAAGCAATGTGGCAAGATTTTTACTGTGTACTAGGCAGTCATGAGGTGCCAATTAATGGTCATTATTGAATGTTAATGCCATAACTCACCCTATTAATGTTCACACTCCCATCTTACCAAATGTGTCAAATGAGCTAGATGTCAGGAAAACTTGACAAGGAAACCAGAGCTTATACCTAGAGGGGTCAGCTTGCAACTTGCTCCCAACAGCCTCCAGCTTAGACACTAGGCAGTCCCAGCTCAGGGAACAATCCATAGACACCGGTGGTATACCTTTCATCTATGGATTTTGGCATCCAAAATCTGCAAATCTATCGCAACTATTATTGCACCTCCTGATATGCTAGCAGTTTACTCATGAGGCACAGACGTAGATTGCAGGGTGCAGCAGCAACTAAAATTGAGAAGGCTGCAGTAGGGACCTTTGTGCATGTACACAGGGACACAGATCACAGAATGGACAATGCTACATCTCAGAGCTGCAC